TTACTGAATTAGAAAATTCTAGAGATAATACTCTTGAAAATGATGAAGAATTCTTTCTTAGGAAAAAAAGGAAAAGAAAAGGAAGAGTTAGTGGTCAATTAAATATGAAGAACCAAAAACTACTATCTTTCTTCACATTTAACTGATCACTAATTCCTATGAATTATGTCCCATTTTTCAACTCTGATATCATTACTTATCATTAATCTGATGTGCATGCACGTGTGTGCCACTACTGGGGCTTGAACTCAGGGACTCGACTTCTTGCTTGGCTTTTTCACTGAAAGCTGGCACTTTATCACTTGAGCCACATCTCCCTTTCCTGCTTTTTGCTGGTTCATTGGAGATTCTAAAGTCTCATTGATTTGTCTGACTGGGCTGGCTTTGAACTGCAATCCTCAAATTACAGGCTCCTGAGTGGCTAGGATTACAGGCGTGAGCTAATAGTACTTGGCTCATTTTAAATGAGCATATTCAATAATTTACTGTCTCAATGTCCTCGCTTTTCAATTCATTATAACTTATTCCAAAATAATATATAATTTATATATGTACCTATTTTAAATAATTACAAATTACCTTCTAATATGATCACTTCGATACTATAAAAAAAAGTGGCACTGCCCTCTTTATAGCATTTGGATGGATTTATTGCTTTAGCCAATGTTAGATTCAAGCATATGAAATCTTCATAAACCTTTCAGTTTCAAACAGCTTAGATGAATTTACAATTTTGGCTAGTCTAACTAGTTTTAGGAGTATTTAACTAGCTTTTAACTAGTTTTAGAGTTTTAGAAGCCCATCAACAAAGATAGACTAACTGGTGCATATGGTACTAGGTGTAAGATAGGACTGTCCTTGTATTCAGAGATCTTAAACTATAGTTGGACACAGTAGGACTAACAAGCTTTAGACTCTGCTTCATTGTTCAGTACTTCATCGTTTTTGTTCAGTGCTCAATGGAAATCAAAGAAAGGGGATAATGAAAAGGAAGGAGAGACTTCACCAAGGAATTTCAGCTGGAAGTTGAACACTCACAGAATGACAATAAAGGGATTTAACAAATACTGAAGAATCTCAGAGTGGGGTGGGTATGAGTGAGGATGGCTATGAGAAAGCCTAGCATGGAAGGAATTAGCAGGAATGAATAAGGGAACTAAAGTATAAAGATGTTAAGACACTAAAGAGCAATGAGATTCAATCTTGGCTAGGGATGTTGGAGACCTATTACAGAATGTCTTGAAAGCCAAGCAGACATGTGAAATACATTTTTATAGATAGCAAACAATAAAAGGGAAAGAAATTGTATAAAAAATTATTTGGGCGCCTATGTTTAATCATACAGAAGAGACAAGAAATACACAGGAGAAAATTATAGAGTTTAGAAACAGATGACAAAGAGAAGAAAGCACAGGGGCTGGGAAGGTGGCTCAGTGGTAGAGCGCTTGCCTTGCATGCATGAGGCCCTGGGTTCGATTCCTCAGCACCACATAAGCAGAAAAAAAAGCCGGAATGGCGCTGCGGCTCAAGTGGTAGAGCGCTAGCCTTGAGCTGAAGAGCTGAGGGACAGCGCCCAAGCCCAGAATTCAGGACCCATGACCGAACCCAAAAAAAAAAAGAGAGAAGAAAGCACAAAAGAAGTACAGCTCTAAGCTGGGTGCTGGTTGGCTCAGGCCTGTAATCCTAGTTACTCAGGAGGCTAAGATCTGAGGATTACAGCTCAAAGCTCTGAGGATCACAGCTCAAAGCCAGTCCAGGCAGTTAAGTTGCAGTCTGGAGCAGTTAAATCTGTGAGACTCTTATCTCCAATTAACCTCCAGAAAACTGAATGTGGCGCAAAGTGGTAAATTACTAGCCTTGAGCTAAAGAGCTCAGGAACTGTGTTCAGGCCCAGAGTTCAAACTCTACCACTGACAAAAAAAAAAAAAAAAGAAAGAAAGTAAATCTCTAGATTAGGAAACAATGAAAATAGAGTCATCACTAAAATAAACAGGAAGCTTAGAATGGTTTTATTTGTTCGTTTTGTAAGTCATGGAGCTTGAACTCTGTGCCTGGGTGCTGTCCCTAAGCTTTCCAGCTCAAAGCTAGCACTTTACCACTTGACCCACAGTGTTCCTTCTGTTTTTCTGGTGGTTACTTGGAGATAAGAGTCTTTTTTTTTTTTTTTGGGGGGGGGGGGTCGGTAATGGGGCCTGAACTCTGGGCCTGGGCACTGTTCTTCAGCTGTTTAGCTCAAGACTAGTACTCTACCACTTGAGCCACAGCACCACTTCCGGCTTTTTCTGCTTATATGGTGCTGAGGAATTGAACCCAGGGTCTCATGTATGCAAGGCAAGCACTCTACCACTGAGCACTTTCCCAGCCCCAGAATAAGAATCTTATGGGGATGTTCCTGCCAAGGCTGGCTTTGAACTGAGATCCTCCCATCTCAGCCTCCTGAGTAGCTAGGATTATAGGCATGAGCCACAAACACCCAGCTAGTCTGGTTTGAACTTGGTGGATTCAAGCATAATCAAATAGAGCTAAGCCAAGGCCATTCTATGGTACAGTGTCAAATGGAAGCAAAGATGCAGGGTGGGACAAGAAGTCAGAATGATCTGTGAATCAATGTCTTATAATGAAGGTTTTATCACTAGAAAGCCATGTATTTATTGTTCATTTGAGCCTCAAAATTAAAGTTATGGAAGAGCAGAATACTTTCAAGTTAAAAAAAAAAAAGTTAATCTTCAGAATTAATGCTATATACCCCAATCTGTTAACAGTAGAGTCAGGAAAATGCTGGTTCCTCACTCATGTCATTAAACTATTCAAAAGCTTCAAAAAGAAGGTGAAGTTCAGAGCCCTTGGGGTTTTTTGGTTTGTTGTTCTGTTTTTTAGTCCTTGGCATAGAGGCGACAACTGAAGCCAGGAGAAGGCATGATTCTCTAAGAGTAAGAAAAAGAATTCCTAGCAGATACTCACAATGAATTAAAGTGCCAAGAGAGCCCAGTGAGAAACAGTAAGCTGACTGGAATACTCAAGATAGGTGGGAAAAAAATCAGAACCAGGAAAGTGCAAAGTCAGGAAAGCCAAAAATGGAACAAATACTGAGTGATCTTATATGCCCAAGGTAGAAGAGGAAGAGATGAATTAGTGATAACACATTAGATTAGATGGCTGAAATTTCTTTTAAAATTTAACTTTAGCTAGGGACCGGTGGCTCACACCTATAATCCTACTGGCTACTCAGGAGGCTGAGACCTGAGTATTATGGTTCAAAGCCAGCCCAGGCAGTAAAGTCCATGAAACTTTTATCTCCAAATTAACCAGCAAAATGCCACTCTGGCCTTCAGCCCCCTAAAAAAGTTAGAGATAGTGTCCAAGCCCTGAGGTCAAGCCCCAGGAATAGTACCCCCACCAAAAAAAATTAACTTTTAAAACATTAAAGAAATAAAAAAAAAACTTTTCTTCAAAATGTTTAGCAATATTCATTTGGTACACCCCTAAGGGGAACTTCATTTTGCTTTTCAAATATTAAACTTTTATTTCACAAGTTACATTCACATAAGTGTGAAATATTTTATAGCACTGAAAATGACAAAGTCTAAGAATATAAAGCATCTACTAATTTGTCTTATAAGAATACAGTTGGAGCCGGGCGCTGGTGGCTCACGCCTGTAATCTGAGCTACTAAGGAGGCTGAGATCTGAGGATCACGGTTCAAAGCCAGCCTGGGCAGGAAAGTCCATGAGAATCTTATCTCCAATAAACCACTAGAAAACTGGAAGTGGCACTGTGGCTCAAGTGGTAGAGTGCTTGCCTTGAGCTGAAGAGTTCAGGGACAGTGCCCAAACCCAGAGTTCAAGCCCCACAACCAGAAAAAAAAAAAAAAAAAAAAGAATACAGTTGGCTCTTTTATTTTATTTCAGTTGTGGTGCTAGGGACTGAGCCTAGGGCTTTATCCTTTACTACTGAACTACATCCCTCAGTCCCATGTGACATTTCACAGCTCAAATATATTTCAACATAACTTGATCAGCTTTTTGTATCTCTTATTTGGCAAGAAAATGTTTACAGCTTGAACCTTCTCCTGGAGAGGCGTTTAGTAAAATAAACAACAGCTTGCTATATTGGTTGCTGTAATCTCTTTTTTTTATGAATTCATGGGTTCAGTAAGAAAAAAACGTGCTATAAAAGTCAGTACATATATATTTAAAACAAAATATAAGGTATGTTACTAAGTATTGATACATTTAATTTTACATAAAATGGCCAGTCTCCTGACTACATATGTGATTCCTAGCTTTGGCTTTTTTTTTTCTCCCAGTGGGGGTGAAATTCAGGCTTTGACTGTGCAGATGTTCTACCACTTAGCTATATCCCCTAGCCTGCAGCTTTTGTCTTTTTGTGTGTGATTTTGCATGTATGTGTGTGTTGGCACTGGGCCTTGAACTCAGGGCCTGTGCACTGTCTCTCGGCTTTTTCACTCAAAAGTTAAGACTGTATCACTTGAGTGACAGCTCCACTTCTGGCTTTTTTGGTGGTTAACTGGAGGTAAGAGTCTCATGGATGTTCCTGCTTTGGCTGGCTTTGAACTATAGTTACAGATCTCATCCTAAGTAGCTAGGATTACAGGAGTGAGCCACCAGCACCCAGGGCAGGTTCCATCTTCAGAGGTAGTTAGTACTCAAAGAAAAGTGAATTATATTTTATCTTTGTTCTAACACGACAGAAAGTATGTTTAACTAAAATCAGTCTTTATTAGTAATACTTGTGGAACACAGCACTGTCTTGGCACAAATCAAGTTTTAGAAAGAGCCTAGGAACTTTTATGTAACTTTTTACAAAAGCGCTGTTGATTGTTTTTGGTACTGGTTTGGGGATTTAATTCAGGTCCTCACACATGTTAAGCACATATTCTTATCACCCCATGCCTACGTAAAAAAAAAAAAAATGTAATTGTCCATCGAAGGATTAAAATAAAATTTAAGACACAAATGAGCTAAGGATTTGCGACTGACCTTGTTCAAGCCTGAAGAGGGTCTTCTCCAGCTTTTCCATTTCGTTCAGTAGTAAGATTCGAATCTGTTTACTGTGTCCCATTTTGGCTTCTGGAGGGCTTGAACTCTTTGGGGAGAATTAGCAGAACGCCAACGTCGAATGAGTTGCTCCTATGGAACAAAAAGGAATTACAAAGAAAAAAAAAACACACAATAATTACAATTACGCTCAAACTCTCCAGGGCTGAAAGAGAGACACTTACATGTTCCAGATAGGTCTGAACCCTAGCAGAGCACTAACAAAGAATGGCTTAAAAATAAAGAGGCGAGAAGGGAAATGAATAGTTTTGTCTCCCTCCACTTGGAACCCAGCAAAGAAGGATGAAGCAAGTATATAAATATATATGTGTATATATATATATATGTATATAGAATTGTCGATTCTTGCACTTTAGGCAGAATACAACTAAAGAAGCTAAGCCATTCCCAGAGACAAGCCAGGCACGTGGGAAAGGCTGGAGCTGGGGATGGGAAAATGCCCCAGTCTCAAGCCAAATGGCCCGGCCGTCTGCAAGTGGCGTTTCTGCTTACAGAAGGTAACAGGTGGGAGATCGCCCCGTTCCCTAATTCGGGCGTGCGCCGCCCGCGGGCAGCCGCGGGCGCGGGGAAGCAGCTGTTGCCCCGGGAACGGACGTGGGGGGCCCAGGGCGAGCTGGACACCGCCGGCGGGCCTTCCCTGCACTTACGACGGGCGGGCGGGACGCCGGCGCCGGAGACTGGACCCCGCAGCTCCGAGGGGTCCGCGGTGGCGAGCCGGTGTAGGCCGCCGACGCAGCCGCGGCCCCGGGGAGGGCTGGACGCCGCCGTGAAGGGCAAAAGGCGGGGCGGCGGCCCCGGACCCTCCCCGGCGGCGGGTGAGTGACAGGCAGGGCACATCCTCGAGACCCCGCCCAGCGCGGGCGCCGGAAGTAGGTCTCACCCCCCCCCCCCCTTAAAGGACATGAACTGGTCCTCAGGCCCACTTCCGGGAGCTTCTCCGCTCGGGCTCGTAGATACCTCTAAGTCTCGCGAGAGTGCGGTGGTCGTGGGTGCCAGCGTGGGAAGTCACGGCCCTCCTCGTCGCCCGGAGCATCCGGGCATCCCGATGCAGTGTTAGTGATCCTGGGGGCGTGGAGCTGCTCGTTAGGATTGCTTTGTGGGTAGACTCAATGGCGGGAGGCTCGCAGCCTGGCTGCAGGACCTCTTCTGTGGCCGCTGTGAGGTCAGATCAGGGAAGATGGAATCGTGGGGTCTTTTTTACACCGTTGCAGGCCGCAGCCAGCCAGCCGGGCGTGGCCAGGGCCTGCAGCCCGCAACGCACTCAACACGGCTGGGAGACAGGCCCGGGAGGGAAGACAGGACAAACGCCGTACCGACACGCCGGTTCGGCCCCGGTGGAGGGCTGAATCGGGATGCCGTGATGACTGCAGACCAGCCACGAGACAGGACAGCAACACGGAGACTCGGGTGGCATGGCGATGCTGGTCCGGGCCTCCACAGAGCCGGGCAGGTGGCAGGGTCACAGGACACTGGACTGACAGGCTCAGCAACCAATCAGCCAAGGGCCCGCCCCTGCCTCCAGGGATCCAGGTGTGCCCATCACCTGAGGGGGAGGGGGGCGTCACCCTCCCCCAAAGACTAGCTGACATCTGTATTTCTCGGAAGCAGAATCCTCCTAGCAAACCTGGAGCTAGACATTTGCATTTCAAAGGATGGCTTGTCTCACCTGTAAGGGTTGGGGCTGGGTTAGAGGGACAGCTTCCCATCTCCTGCCTAGGCACCAGGATGGCTGCAAGAAATTATTTAGGCTCAGCCATCTTACTTCATGCCAATATGCTTTTTTTTAATTTTTTATATTTTTTTATTGTGAAAATACTGTACAGAGGAGTTACAATTACATGGGCAAGATAATGAGTACATTTCTTATCAAGCATTGTAGCCTCCTCCTTTGTTTCCCCTTCCCATCCCTTCCCATCCCCCCCCCTGCTTTTTTTATTTTTGTTATTGTTGTTATTGTTTTGTGGTGTGCCGGTTCTAGGGCTTGAACTCCCTGCACAACCTCCATTCCCATGGGAAAGGTTTTCTTCCCTCGCTGTTCTTCAATAAAAAGTCCTCTCCTGTAGATGATCGTGTTTGACCTGTTTCCTTACTTTCTCCTCCATTTTCCTAACACAATGTCCATTTGTGCCTGGCCAGACCTGATTGTCTAAGACTAAGGTAGGGTGCATTGGAGGCCAGATATTTACGACAGTGTAGAAGCCTAAGAAAGTTTTATGCCTGAGGGAAAAGGATCCTCCCCATTTTTTTTTTTTTCAGGCTAGTTAAAGTACCTCAGATAGTCCAAAGAGTGGATGGAAAAAGGAGTGCAAAGGTTTGTTCTGTGAAGAAGGGATGAAAGGGTGAACTGAGAGCTGTTGTCTCATATCAGAGAAAACAGGAATGACCATGGGCAAGTGAGAGAAACGCTCTAGGCAGAAGAAATAAGACTGAAAGAATCAGTCAGCATAAAATGAATATTTATTAGAAAATGCACTGAGATATACAGATAAAGATGGCTGTATGTCTATTCAAAGCTCCTCAGAATGCTTGGCTGTGAATCAGTGGTGTACGGGAATCTAAGCAAACATGTCTGCACACAAGTCCTGTTGAGGAATGAAGCTCGTTGCCACACTAGTGTAGAAATGTGCCAATTTTCCCTCTCAGGCCTATAGGATGGGGAGATCATGCTTGCTGGGTGTTCCCTCCTCACAGAATGGATGGACAGATGGGATACAAGCTCACAGATACTCTTCCCACATTTACCAATCAGGAGTTTCAGAGCAAAGAGAAGTTAGGGAGGGCACTGTTCAGGGAAGCATTCTGGGGGAAAGGGGGAGAGTTGGGCTGGTGGCTCACTCCTGTAATCCTAACTACTCAGGAGGCTGAGATTTGAGGATTGAGGTTCAAAGCCAGCCCTGGCAGGTATATGAACTAACTCAGTTCCCCAAGCAAGTACTATTCTTTCTCCCACTACCCCCACCTCACTTTTTGTTTCTTACCTGGGATTGAACTCAAGGTCTAGAGCCAAACCACACTAATTGAAAGAAGGAAGAGAAAGAAGCTAAATGCCCAAAGCTAACTTGTTTAAGGTTACGTAACAAGTGGAAAGATGTGCCTTTGTTCAGTAAGCCCTATAGCTGAGCTCACTGATGTCAACTTCCATGCTAGCTAACAGTAAAGACTTTATACATCAACGTAGTGCTGCTGACTTTACAGTGAGTTTGAAGGGAGATTCTGGCTCTCCTGTGGCCCAGTTTCCTCAGGACTTGGCCTTCAGGAAGCCTTTGCCTGCCTTGCCCTCCCTCCTCTGGGGCCTGGGCTCTGTGTTCTTCCCTGGGTGGCTTGTTGTATCAGGATGTGTGAGAAGTGCCTATTTTATTTTCTCCTTTGCCCTCTAGAGTCTTTGGGACAGGGAGTTTTCTGTCTCTGCATGGTAGTTACAAAACTGTTTACTCCACTTAGATACACTAAGAGAAATGTCTTATTCTTAGAAACATCTGTAAGGCTGAGTAAGTAGCTCAGCATACTACATTTGCTTAATATGTATGGGTTCAATCCCCAGCACTGCAACAAAAAAAGATTCCATCCCTTTACCATTAGCCACCTGCCAGGCAGGTACAGGTAAACAAAAGTAACTTTAGCCAAATATGTTTTAAAATGAATTCTCACAGTATTAAATAATCTCTTTAACTTCATCTCTTTAGAAAAATTATTATTATGGTGTCCTTCTTTCCCAACTGCACTTAAGATGGTGCTCGGCTCCCCACAGAGCAGATTCTCACATGAAGATGCATGAACTGGACATAGTGGATGGCCAATATCACCAGATATACAACTATCTAGTTTTGTTCTTTGTTATTCTCTTGGCACAGATGACTACTGTTTGTGGCTGATAACTTCCTGATCATTCTTTCTTGGCTTCATTAGAGTCCAAATCCACTCCCCCTCCTCCCCATTCCTGTCTCAGCCTCTTTTATTGTTGTTGTGTTGGTAGTAGGACCTGAGTTAGGGTCTCTTAAGTGAAAAAGCTGGCACTGTATAACTTGAGCCACGCCTCCACTTGGGCTTTTTTCTGACTAATTGGAGATGAGGACCTCTCAGATTTATCTCCCTGAACTGGCTCTGAACTTTGATCCTCAGCTCTCAGCCTCCTGAGTAGTTAGGATTACAGGTGTGAGCCACCAGCACCTGGCTTCAGCCTCTCTTGAATTTCTACATTTAGTCAGAAAACTCTGTGTATGAGAAATGTTCTCCATCCACCTCCTGAGTCAGAGTTTGCTCACCTTTGCCACAGTGGGTCCATGAAAAGTTTGCTGGTTCTGTCTGTAACTGATCTTCTTAATTTACCGCCCCCCCCACACACCACCTTGGGATCCCTCTTTTTAGAGCCCCACACTCTTCTTTTGCCTCACATAGCACTCTACACCCAAGAGTTCAGAACAAAAACAACTCTGTACATTCAACAAATGCTGTCCCTATGATGTGCTGGTTACTGTTTTGTGCCCTGGGCATAGAAAAATCCCTTGCTCACATGGGCTTTATAGTCTAATATTTCCCCCAACCAGTCACACTTGCTTCTATCAGAGCACACCAGCTTATTCCTTTTGCCTACCTTTCTCTAGCTTTTCTCATCTTCACAATGCCTCAAGCCCTTGTACCCTGTAACAATCTAAGTTTCTTACTGAAGTAACTCTGAGTGTCTGAGGGGAGAAATGAATGTCTGAATGGAGAAAAGTATTTTACATTCCAAAGGCAAATGACAAAGTACATTAATTTTGTTAAAACTACTAACTTCATTATACCAGGATGGGAGCTTTCTTTCTTTCTTTCTTTTTCTTGGTTAGTCACAGGGTTTGAACTCCAGGCCTACGGGCTGTCCCTGAGCTCTTCAGCTCAAGGCTAGTGCTCTACTAGTGCTCTACTATTATATTGCATTGCAATATAATATTTGTACTTTTGTTTCTGGTTTAATAAGTAATTTAGTTAGAATAGCCTTTTTTATTTACTTATTTCCCTCCTTTATGTTTCTTTCCTCACTCTTGTGTATTTTTTTTGAATGTATCTTGAAGCAAGGCTACCAGAACAGACATACATATTTCTTTATTTTTCCCCAAATTAAAAAAAAATCTTAAACTGGCATTTTGATTTATTTATTTTATTTTATTTTATTTTTTTGTCGGTTGTGGGGCTTGAACTCTGGGCCTGGGTGATGTCCCTCAGCTCTTCAGCTCAAGGCTAGCACTCTACCACTTGAGCTACAGCGCCACTTCTGGTTTTCTGGTGGTTTATTGGAGATAGGAGTCTCATGGTCTCTCCTGCCCGGGCTGGCTTTGAACCGTGATCCTCAGATCTCAGCCTCCTGAGTAGCTAGGATTACAGGCGTGAGCCACCAGCACCCAGCTTAAACTGGCATTTTGAATTGAAACCCTTCTATACAAGTACTTTAACATAATTTTTTAAATGGCAGGTATCCATAACATCAAGTTTACCTGTTTTTGTTGTGTATTTTTAATCTCTTGTTTTTTACA